GTAGATGGGGACCCTGGGCTTCTACCCAGATGGTACGCAATTGTGGTGGTGCTGTTCATTTGCATATATGTTGCGGGGTTCGCATGGTCATGGGGGCCTCTAGGTTGGCTGGTGCCAAGTGAAATCTTCCCATTGGAGATTCGTTCAGCTGCTCAAAGTGTAAACGTTTCGGTGAACATGTTCTTCACATTCATGATTGCTCAAGTGTTCTTGGTAATGCTTTGCCATTTGAAATTTGGGTTGTTCCTTTTCTTTGCGTTCTTTGTTCTACTGATGTCAATCTTCGTGGCGGTGTTCTTGCCTGAGACAAAGGGCATTCCAATTGAAGAGATGAATGAGGTTTGGAAGACACATTGGTACTGGAAAAGGTTTGTGCATGACAATCATTTGGATGATGGAGAGAGAGTTGAAATGGTGAAGGGTGGAGGATTTTAGTAAAATGCTTATTGTGATTATTGTGAAGACTTTAGTTTTTTTTTTTTGTTAGAGAAGATGGATACTGGAGGTAACTCCATATTGACTAATTAGGAGAATAATCATGAATTTATAAGTAAGGAAAACCAAAAGTAAAGTCACGATAGTTCATGCTGAAAATGAACAATATCATATTACTGTGTAGGGTCCATGATTTTTAACATAGTATCAGAGTTATGCTTTTAACTTAGCCATATCAATAGAATTTTCAAAATGTCTAAAAAAGAAGTTGTGAGCTTGAATGTATAGTCAAAAGTGACTCAAAGTGTCAAACAAATAGTGTACTTAGGCTTTCGGCCTATTTGTTCGAGGGCTCCAAAGAAGGAGTCGAGCCTCGTTTAAGGGAGGCTATTTGAGGGTTACATAGGCTTTCGGGGAGGCTCTATTGTGGGGTTCCCAGTGATTTGTAAGTTGTTTAATTATGGAAGTATATAAATAAGTAAGTAAATAAACTTGGGTTAAAACGAGTTTAGATTGAAAAGATTTGGTTGGGTATAGAATTTGTATGAAACAAAGAAGACTAAAATGGACGAAAAAGTGGATTATCCATCCAGTCGTCTGTGGGTGTCAGCTACTAGCAGGCTCCCAATGGTCTGGTGTTGAGGCTGCTAATTCAGCTCTGTGTCCAGCAATTCAAGTACATGACTTTATGAAGAGAATCTTCAGCCTTTACCACCTTCTCCCCATCTTTTCCAATCCCAGTGCTGCCGGCGCCGAGCTCCTGAGACGCCGTGTCCTCGTTCTGAAATCGCCGCTTGGACCGAAAAAGAGTTTCAGAGTTCCATTTGGAGAAGTGATCGGCATGGCCACCTTCCACCACGGCCACACTAGCGGCGGCCATACATGCTCTGCTCAAATAGCTCATATTCTTCCTCCTGATTTCTGTTTTGCCAATCCTCAACTCCTTTGTGTCCTAAATAAACAAACACGAAGGACTTCAGTATTTCAGGGTAGGAATGGTTTTGGGATTATCAGAGAATTAATAAAATACCATTCATCAAAATCCCTGGTTTGTTTGTTTACCATTGGCGGATTCCTTTTTATTTTATTCATTTACTTTTGGGACGCGGAAGGGGGAATTAGAAGGACGGTGTACTTGTCTGAGATGCATATTAGATGCCTCCGTTTTAATATCAAACATTATTAACATTACAATTTATTGTTTTGTTTTCTCAATTAATTTATAAAACTATGATTCAAATTCAAGTGGCATCTCATGGATCTTTCGCTATTTGTGATATACGTAAATATAACATTCATAAACAATGTCAATAGCCTAAACACGCCCCTAGCATATATTGTCATATTTTCGATTTTCCCTTGTGAACTTCCTGTAAAGTTTTAAAATGAGTCTGTTATGGACAGTTTTGTCCATCCTTATAAGACATGTTTTATTATCCCTCCAACTGATGTGGTATCTCATAATTCATCGTTGGGGCCAGCGTCCTCTGCGGTTAGATCTCATAATTTATCCCCTTTAGGGCTAGCAGACTGTCCAGTGTAATTACCCCAAGCTAATTTATCCCATTTAGGGCCAGCGTCCTCGCTAGCAGACTGTCTGGTGCAATACCTCAAGCCTATCGCTAACCGATGTTGTCCTTATACACTCGTTCTTTTGAGCTTCCTCTCAAAGTTTTTAAAACGAGTTCTGATACTATTTTTTAATTTGTGCGCATCATCCTTGCACGCAAACCATTGTAATCTTCTTTCTTACCGAGGTTATTCATTAATTATTGTCATCATATGACATAGTTTTATAAGCGTTTTAATGTCTTCGTAACTGCTATGGTAAGCTCCAATGGAGCTTTTTTATTCTAATTAAGTGTCTGAAATCACCCCAGCTAGTAAGATTCTGAATCATTGTATAACTATGATGGTAGTGTTGTTGAGAACTAAAAATGATGGAATTAAATATGGCATTGAGTTCAGAAGATCTTCCCTTAAAATCAAATCTACAAACATTTCAAACATAACTGCAACAACAACCATACAAAACAACACAAAATCTCCAAAAACATCCAACATATTTACACCCACAATCCAATTCCAAACCACGACGCTCTATCCTTTTCTTGCTTCTTCCAACCATTTTTCTTATGAACTGCATTAATGATTTACAGTGTCAATGATCAGAGAAAAACTGTGCCCTTCTTGGGCGACGTTCGTTCGAGAGAGATGTTTATCTGAATACGACGACGTTTAGTTAGGCCCCCAACAGCTCAAATACATGACCGTTCTGAGAGACTCCTCGGCCCGCTTAAGTTTCTCCGCCTTGGCAGCCCTTACCGCACTCGAATCCATACCACTGTAAAATCCCCTTGCCCCCTGATTCGAAGATGATCCCGAATGATCTCTCACCGCCTTCAACATCGCCTCACGCTTCGCCGTCGGATCTTTCATTCCGCTGATCTCGCCCTGGTAAAATCTACGGCTCATTGCGTCTTTGATGGAAAAAAGGGCACAGGTTCGAAACAGAGTGAACGCTCCGGTTTAGTCGTACCAAGTCGGTAGAGCAGAGCTTTAAGAGAAACTGCCGGCGTTGAGGCGTAGGATTTGTTTTAGACGGCGGATTTTCGATGAAAACTAGGGGCAACTGGTGGGGCCATGTTCAGTGTCATACTGGACACGTGTTTCTTCCTCCAAAATTTTCTGGATAACGACAACGGACTCGCCACCTCATTCATTTTATCCATTATAATATTATAATTTTAAATCTAATGGTTAAAACTATAAGATTAAACCATATGGATATTAATGAATAATTCTTTGTCCTAATCAATCCTTTTCATTTATATCACGATTAACATTAATAATATCCTAAGTTGGTGGATTAAATATTATTTTATCATCATACATTGAATGATATCTTTATATGTATAAATTCTAATAATTTAATGTCGAAGACGTGGAAGCGAACTTGGGCTGGGTATAGCTTTTGGTTTGAACGAATCCCAGGCCCAGTCCGGCCCAATAATCAGGTAGCCCAGAAGTAGTGCCATCCATTGGGCCAACAATGACTCAAGGCCCAACCAACTCACAAAGCCGACAACTCAAATCGATAATTTTATTTTGCGATCAATAATGCATCAATTATTGCATTGCTACAAAAATTAAAATATAGTAAACTTTACGTATTAATATATAATAATAATAATAATTTACGGGAACCTAATCTAAGAGGGGACATATTCTAGTAGCCACAAGAAGAATATGCGTGGTGATCAGTGGTTGAGATGCAATTTCTTTCTTTTTCTTTTTTTTTAATTTCAGGTAATTTAAAATAGCAATTTTAAAGACGAACCACACAACCCATAGATCCCATATCTTATTTCTGCATTAAAATATTATAAGGTTTAGCTATAATATAGCTAAGTCAGCACTTTATAATTAAAAAAATATCTATTTTATAATATGTTTGGTGAGAAAAAATTGAACTGCTACTCAAATTAGAAAGGAGAAAATCTTTGGAAATGGCATCTATCGAATTTTAAATTAATTGTGGCTAATCAATCTGCACACGTAGGCTGCTCTTTTAGGTAATTACCTCATAAACCTAAGCATATAATAATAATTAATTAACGTTAATTTTTTGTTAATGGGACTAGGGTTTTGTTATTTATTAATTAAGTATATTGTAGGTTGATTAATAAAATGAATGTCTCCTGCATGTGGAACATTAATTTGTAGGCTAACCTATATAGTTTTAAGAATTAATTCAAATAAATAGCTTTTTCTACACTTTATACTATGTGTGTGAGCATAGGAGAGATTATTATTATTATTTAATTTCTAATTTTTTAGAAAAAATTGTTATGTTTCTAAATGTTTGGAATAATAAATGTTCCTAAATTTCGGCAAACACCCAACTCTTTTGAACCATAAACTTTTTCCATTAATTATTGTATTATAAAGAAAATGACCAATTCGAACATTGGGTATACCATATACGTGAAGAATAGGGCAAAATATGATGTGGGTGAGGGGGTAAAATAGTCAATGCACAATATATATATATAAATAAAATAAAATATCTTAGTCAAACCAATTAATGGTAGGCGTGTGAGGATGGAGAGAGAGAATGGTACAGTCACAGGGTGTTCAAAAGCGGGGACTACGTGGCTCCTTTTTGTTGGTTACAGCTGTTGGTAATCCACGAAAACGGGACTTCTTTCTTTCTTCTTCCCAACAAAATTTTATTTTTTCCTAATTAATATTTTCTAGTTTGAGAGTAGTTTCAAATAAATAAATAAATAAATGAAAATATTTAGGTTTAATTTAAAAATTTATTAGGGATGTAAAGTGCAAAATTAAAGAAAGTGATTGACACGTGGGAGGTGAGTGAGAGTAATAATCACAATCAGCAGCGTTGTAAAGGAGCTGTGTATTGTGTGCTGTTCTTCAAGAAAGAGAGGACACGTATCCATGTTGATTAACAAAGGGCGGCCACCAAATCCATCAATTTTTGCTCTCTGTATATATATATATATATATATGTATGTATACACAATCTCTCTTCCAATAGGACCCATTGTCTTCTATTTCTTTCTCTCTTTAAAATTCTGAGTTTTTAAGCCAGATTTGTTGGTACATAACCTGGGATCTGTAGGACCCTTGATTTGAATATCAGCCATGGGAAGAGCACCTTGCTGTGATAAAAATGGGCTTAAGAAAGGGCCATGGACGCCTGAGGAAGATCAGAAATTGATTGATTATATTCAGAAAAATGGTCATGGAAACTGGAGGACTCTTCCTTCTAATGCAGGTATACTTGTGTTTAATTATATATGCTGCCTTTTTCTTCTAAATTATGTCTTTTTTTTTTACGTCTTAACATTAGGGTTTTATGTGTTTTTCCCAAACTTTTAGGACTCCAAAGATGTGGGAAGAGCTGTCGTTTAAGATGGACTAATTATCTTAGACCTGATATCAAACGGGGGAGATTTTCATTCGAAGAGGAAGAAACCATCATCCAACTCCATAGTGTTTTGGGTAACAAGTAAGTTTAAATTTTTAATCTGTTTTCACCAAAAATTTCAGATTTTGATTATTTTTCTGAAATGGGTTTTGGTTTAACCAGGTGGTCTGCGATTGCGACTCGATTGCCGGGAAGAACGGACAACGAAATAAAGAACTATTGGAACACCCACATAAGAAAGAGGCTGCTAAGAATGGGAATTGATCCAGTGACACACAGTCCACGCCTTGATCTACTTGATTTGTCTTCCATTCTACGCTCTACTCTCTACAACTCTTCACAAATGAACCTTTCAAGCTTGCTTGGAGTGCAGCCATTAGTAAACCCTGAGCTTCTTAAATTGGCTGCTTCATTAATGTCTTCTGAACGTAAAAGTCAAAGCTTTTCGCCGCAAAATTGTATGCAGACTATTCAATTCTCTCATCCTCAGCTAGAAATGCAAGTTCCTGTGCAAGAAATTGTTCAATTCCCTCAACTGGTGGAGCCAATTGCAAGCGAATTAAATGATCAATGGCAAATAAGCGAAGACTGCAATAATATTGAGATTCCGACAGGGTTTGACTATTGTGGGTTTGATCAGCAACACGCCGCCGCAGTGATGGACAATTCGTATGAAATGCCGACGTTTAGTTCCCACAAGGACATGGGTAATAACAAGAACAACTTCAATTTGAGCTCGGTTTTATCTTCGCCATGTTCTTCAAGCCCTACGCAGATGAATTCCAACTCCACATATTTTACTAGTCCCAATGAGGATGAGAGAGAAAGTTACTGTAGCCAGATTTTGAATTTTGATATCCCTGATTTCTTTGATGAAAGCTTCATGTAATGTAAAAATCAAGCAAATCTATGGAGTTAAAATTTGCCTTTTTATTCCTTGTTCTTCCATCGCTTGCGCATGGACACTCACAAAGACACAAGATTTAAGCTATATGGGTAAGTCTTTATTAGTCTATTTCTGTAGTATCTTGACTCGGTGAGTAGATATTGTCCAATTTGACTCACTTATCGCCGTTAGCCTCATGGTTTTAAAATACGTCTAATAGGGAGAAGCTTTCACACCTTTATAAAGTGTGTGTTGTTCCACTCTCTAATCGATGTGAGATGTTACAATCCACCTCCTTGAGGGTCCAGCGTCCTCGTTGACATACTCGATGTCTAGCTCTGATACCATTTGTAACCGTTCAAGCCCATCATTAGCAAATATTATAGAAGTTTCTACACGATTATAAAAAATGTTTTATTCCGCTTTTCAACTGAGATGAGATGTTACAAAGAGGTATTGCACCGCAAGCTTTAATTATGGAAGAAAAAGTTAGATAAAAAAAAGACTCTTTTTCTCAATTATTTTTTCAAGAACTTAGAAACAAGGGAGGTGACTTTCATGCAAAAGATTACATTTTTATATTTCAACGACAACAAGGACGATGCGTGGTATAAACGTATAGCTACGAATTCATTATAGAACACAAAAGCAAGAACTTACCACAAACTTGATTTACGTCAAGTGGGTTTGACAATTGTGAGCTTAATTTTGGTTGACCTGTACGGCCATCACCTCGTGATATACAATTTCTTTTTAAAAGTTATGAACTTCATGCCCTTTTTTTTCCCCCTTTTGTCAGACTTAGAAAGGGAGCGAGGCCAGAATCCAAGATTCCGGCAAAGAGACAGGGCTGGAGTCGGCGGTGGGTGAAAGGGAGTGGTGGTGACACGTGTCAGATCCAGGTCAGTTTGGCCAACTGTATCTTCCACCTCCTATTTATAGTAAAAGGTTGTATTATTATATTTAATCATGCATGGGGATTACGATAATTTCATATATATATATTTAAATTAGGAAAAAGTCAAAGGCTACGTGTCTTGAACGTAGAGGTTACTTCTACGGTGGGGACCACAAGGGAGGGAGGGTTAATGCTTTATTGACAATCACGGCATGGCTCTTGTGTTATTTTGTCTCTTTCAAGCCAATTTTTAATTTATTATTGCTTTATGAGTCAAAAACTCAAAACCGCGATGTTAATGAATCCTACGTCAGCATGTTCGGACACGTGGTCTCAATAATACAAAAATGGGCCCCACATTTCTTGACGGGAGCGGGTTGACCCGTCAACCTGACGGACTACCTTATCCATTTAAAACTTCAAGTGCGGGAAAAAAGAAATAAAAAAATAAAAATAAAAATGAGCTTTTTGACTTTCATCCCGTGTGAAAAGGAACAGTTAAGTGAAGTTTCCTAGGAAATTACACCGTCATTATTGACTACGTACCAATTATGATTTGTTAATCATGATGGCCGACATGTCGAACTAAGATATCGTTTGCTTTCTTGTCCAGCTTCAAATTTAAATTAAACTACGCTATCATTTCAAAATAATTGCGAGTTCAATGTTTTAAAATAATATATATCCAACTAAAAATACAATGATTTGAAAGAAAGATGAAATAAAGAGATTAAGATTGAGAATTGAATTATTTAGTTTTAACCTATAGTTAGTTGAGCATGCAATCAAGTACATTCATCATCATACATACACAATTACCAAATATACCTAACTAAGTACGCAAATCTACTTTTGACACGTGTGACCCGACACATATAGCTCGATACAAGTGAAGGAACACAATTCTTACAACAATCCCAAGTTCTAATTTAGAGAAACGAGTGATATCTGCTAGCAGGAAGCTTAGGCTGTTATAAATGATATTAGAGTCATTCATCGGACGGTGCGAAGTATTGGTCAGAGTAAGGCTAGATCCTCTTTATAGTAGATGCATTTTAAAACTGTGAGGTTGACAATGATACGTAATGAGCCAAAGTGAACAATATCTACTAGTGGTGGACTTTTAGCTGTTACAAATGGTATAAGAGCTAGACATTGAGCGATGTACCAACGAAGATGCTGGCCCTTACGAGAGGTGGATTATGAGATCCTACATCATTGGAAAGGGGACTAAAATGTTTCTTATAAGGGTGTGGAAACCTGACGCATTTTAAAATTGTGAGGCTGACGACGATCCGTAATGGGTCAAAACGAATAATATCAGCTAGTGTTAAATAAATTTGTTTATAAATTTTAGTATTTTTGATAAAGAACTGGGCATTATATTTCAAATTCCCATACTAAAACTTGGTTGGAATCTTCAATCAAACTTAACAATTACGCAAAATTTTGACCTAACCATTGGAGTAGCTTCAACCATATTGGTATAAGTTAATCACTCAACCATTCATCTTCTCTCTTATAACTCGATAGAAGGTTTGACATTTACATTGGATTGAAAAACAAAAAAAGTCAATTTCATTTAAAAGATTTGAAGAAAATAAAACTCCGCAGAGATCTAAAATGTAAAAGATTGAAGATGGGAATAGAAAGAACATGAGATTACAAGTGGGGTTGCAGAAGTTGAACAAATGGGGTATCATTAGAATGAAGAATGTGAACATGCATGAACATGCATATATCTTGTACGAACCAACATTAATGGCAATCGCTACTAACAATTTTTTACACATATCTCTTGCATTGCGGCTGCCTTTTGCATAATTGAACTGACCGATTATTGGATCTCTGATGGGTTTTCAATTTAAAAAAAAAAAAAAACATTATCTTTCTTCATGTTACTTAAGTATTATAATACATAATTTGATATCTTAACAATGATCAAGATTGCATTTTTGTAGGAAGATGATCTGTAGGTAAGCAATATGTCATTTGGTCGTCAGAAGTGAGAGGGGAGAGAGACAAATAAAAAAGGAAAAGGAGTGGTAAGCTAATGAAATTGAAACATTTGTGTGAGGAGAATAATGTGGTGGGGGCTCAATTTAGCCGACAAGAAAGAAAAATAACATAAGAGATTAAGATAAATATGAATATGCCCATTTCTCTGTCTCTCTCTCTCTTTCATTTTCTGTCTCGACCGCCCAAGAAATTGGTTCCTTTACCTTACAATGTCAACCCCTTAAAAGTTTGTAAATGTCTTTCTATCATCTCTGTCCCTCTCAACTTTTGTTTCTGTTCTTAGTCAGTTCGAACCTTCACGGGTTACACAAAGATTTGATGCATGAATACTTTTGGTACATTCTCCCCTTCGTTATTGTTCACTTTGAGTTTCCCTAAAAGGCCTCCCACGAATAGAAAGAGTATTCCTTGATTATAAATCCATGATCATTCCCTAAATTAGTCGATGTGGGACTTTCATCATTCAACAGGTTTATCTCTTATATTAGTACATGAATGATCTTGACTCATGTATGAACATTAGTGTTGCTTTAATTCATATATGAGAATTAGTTTTGTCAATACCCATATAAAAGTTTGTCTAGCAATGTTTCAAGATGTGGAGTCATTGTCATTTTGTATTTACTTAGAGACAATTGAGAGAAATTTTGTAGTATGAAAATGTGAGAAATACACTTGTAAACACTTTGGTCATAATAACTAGCTACCATCGGTAGATGTAGGAGAATTTCTTCTCTTCAAACCATGTAAATCTTTATGTCTCTTTATTTATGTATGTTCATGGTGTGTGAATGCAATCAATCTTATTTCTAGTCCTTAAAACTAAATCTTATACAAAATTGTCGCAATTCACTCGGAGTCATTGTCATTTTGTATTTACTTAGAGACAATTGAGAGAAATTTTGTAGTATGAAAATGTGAGAAATACACTTGTAAACACTTTGGTCATAATAACTAGCTACCATCGGTAGATGTAGGAGAATTTCTTCTCTTCAAACCATGTAAATCTTTATGTCTCTTTATTTATGTATGTTCATGGTGTGTGAATGCAATCAATCTTATTTCTAGTCCTTAAAACTAAATCTTATACAAAATTGTCGCAATTCACTCGTTGGTTTGATGGAACCCTACATTGTCATATATATATGGGCCTTACTGTTGGATAGTGGTCTAGTGGTCTGGGCCTCCAAAGAGAGAGAAGTTGGCAAACATAAGCCCAAGCCCAAATATGAGTATAGAAGGCCCATAAGTTAGCTGATGTGGTGGCATGCCCTATGATTCAATAATTCACGATGGGTTAAGTTAGGATCAGAATTTTTATTTGAATTTGGTTGTTTTTTTTTTAATTCGATTCATGGATTAAAATACTTTTAGTTAGGCCAATTCCATGAATTTAAAAATAAGGTTGAAATCATTTAATGCTTATAATTAATATTAATGATATGGTATGATAGGTAAATATTTCATTTTTAGTTTTTTTTTACTTTTAATTATTAACATAACGAAATAATTCATTTGTTTGTTTTCTAGAAGTAATATGGAGTCGATTCGCAGAAGGAAAAAATTGTACCGGCAAAGGTGGGAGAGGGGGACACGTGTTTAAGAAGCAGCATCATGGTGAGCAAGCAGATTGCCAGGTCATCAACCAATTCGGTACGTGTCACAAACCCAGTTCACCCACTAACCCCACAGCACAAATTCTTTTACAAAAGACGAGGCTGTCTCATACACAACAAACTCCAAACCAAAAGGCCAATAGGAAGAGAATTAAGGAAAAGGAATTAAGAAAAGAAAATGGTACGGTCTCTGGAGCCACTGGTGGTTGGGAGAGTGATCGGAGATGTGTTGGACATGTTCACTCCGGCCGCCGATTTGTCCGTCACTTATGCCTCTAAACAGGTCGCTAACGGTTGCGAAATCAAGCCCTCTGCCGCTGCTGATGCCCCCACTGTTGTTATCCAAGGCCCCATCTCCAACAACGACCTTTATGCTCTGGTATTCTTCCGTGGCTTCCATGGTTTTTTTTTAGCTTCTAATTCTGTGATAATGGATTCATTTTTGAGTTGGGAATTGTGTGTAGGTTATGGTGGATCCTGATGCTCCGAGCCCTAGTGAGCCAACGTTCAGAGA